ACGTGTTGCGGAGGAGGCCGTCGACCAAGGCGGCGAGGCTCTTAGCGTCCACGTCGGCCTGCAGGCGGGTTCCGAGAAGGTTCAGGGAAGGGTCCGGGAAGAGGAGAGGCTCTTCAGGGTTGGCGCCTGGTCGAGCAGCAGCAGCTGAAGCCGGCACTCGGCGCTGGCGAGCGCGCGGCCCAGCGGCGCGAGCGGCGACATGCCTGTTCACGCCCACCCGTGTGAAGAGAGGCCGGTGGTGCACTGACCGGCTGGCGCGAGAGAGAACAAGCCGGCGGGCGCAACCATCGCGACAGCCACGTTCTGGTAAAAGTTGTTGCCGGAGAGGTCGAGGCAGAGGAGCGGGCCGCCCGCCGCGACCAGCTCGGCGACACCACGCAGCCCACGCCCGGTGATCTCGTTGTAGCCGATATTGAGCCGAAAGACCGACGGGTGGCCATTGAGGCCACGTGCGATGGCGGCAGCGCCGTCGTCGCCCAGCGCGTTGTCCTCAAGGCTGACCTGCGTCAGGTTTGTGTCGCGCGAGAGCACCTCGGCAACGGCCTGCGCGCCCTGGCTTCCGACGCCGGCCGAGCGCAGCGCGAGATGAGTCAGCGGTGTCCCGCGCTGCGCCGCACCCTCGAGCGCCGCGCGTACGCGAGATTGAGGTGGGCTTCCAAGTTCATCGTGCGCCGCGTCGTAGGCCGCGAGGAGACCAGCTGGGCTGCTGTCCTCATGCGAGAGCGCTTGGGCTGACATACTTGGGCTGTGCCGTACGGAAGTGTGAACAGGTTGGAGCAGCAGCTCCTGAGCACGGCGCCGCAGGCGCCTGTTGATAGGTCCAGGTGATAGCCCTGGATGGGCAATGCATACGCCTCACTGGGCCTTAGATCGCCCGACCGCGTCCCGGTGCTCTGTGGTCGGATTTGTGACGCCGCCGCAACGCGCCGCGGCCGGGGGCCCTCCGGAGGCCGAGGATGGCCGTGGCGGACCAGGACGAGCTCTGGGAGGTAAAGTGTCAGTGAGTATATTGTAGAGACAGACCATGTGCACAATAATCAATATCTCTCACTCTAGCTAAGCCAGGGGAGGCGATGCCGGGGCCGTACAGCAGCTTGACGGTGCTTCGCCGGCGTGCGTCCCGGAGCGGTCCGGACGGGCGGTCCGGGGGACAAAATCGGGGGACAACGCCGACACCGCTCTGATTCGACTTTTAACTTCAAACAAAGACAGTCGCACGCGCCACAGCGCGGCGCGTGCGACTGTCAGGAGCGGATCCGTCAGTTAGTTGTGTTCACGCCGGGATCGTGTCCCCGACAACCTGCCCAGACTTTAGACCACGACAGTGGGGTACCCAGGGTCCGTCGGCCTCTTTTGT